ATAATAATAATAATAATAATAATAATAATAATAATAATAATAATAATAATAATAATAATAATAATAATAATAATAATAATAAAAGAAATTCACAGAAAAATGTTATCCTGTTACCACCAAAAAGATCCTCTTACCAAAACAAAAAGAAAAAACCCTGCTTGCTCCAGAGTAGCACTCCATGGGTGGATGATGTCAGGAATTAACCAAGGGGCTTTCTGCCCATGGAGGGCAGGGCTTCACCTTGACTGCCAGCTGCCCATCCCTACCTCCTTTTTTCTGGCTTTGTAGGGATCCCCAGAATGACTGAAAAGGTTTTCTGGCTCCTTTCAAGGCTGAATTTAGGATGTTGGTTTTCTCCCTTTATTTCCCCCTCTAGGATTTGTACCCTACAGCGGCTGCTTTCCTGCTCCAAGCCAAGACTTCCAGCACCCTTTACCAAGGATTCTTCCCCTGCCTGAGCCTCCTCGATGGGCAGAAGCCCATGCAGCACCACTGGCAGCTCAGGGAAAAGTCATCCCCTATCATCCCGGCATCCGGCTGGCCTGTGGGCCCGGGTGGAGGCAGTTTGCAGCCACAGCCCGCTCACAATTCTCCCCAAAAGCCGAGCAAAGGTTTCTCTGCCATCCAGACATTGCGCTGGTGTGTGGTCAGGAGGAGCGCCGAGGGCCTTGCAAGGCTGGCATGTCCTTGGTGTGCGGACAGGGCTGGAGGGGGCCTCCTTGCCGTGCAGGAAATGATCAGGTAGGTGCTCAAAAACAGACCATGAGATAGAGACCAGCTGTAATGAGCAGACCACAGTAGGGGCACCTAAATCCTGGGGCAATTCTCATGTTGACCAAGGTGCAAATTGCAGTCAAGATCTTTGTCCACCCTCAATGGTAGACAGCTATTCCTGATGGTGTTGCCCCCAGTGAGTACAACAGCTTCTGTAAATATTGGATTGGGAGTGTTAGGTCTAGCCCCTTACCCCTGAAGCCCAGAGGGAGCCACAATTTCCTCATGAACCTGCCCAGAACATGAGACCAGCTAGAGCCCTTCTGACAATATTCATTTGCACTTATGGGAAGGAGTCTGGGGGTTGGGTTTTTTTGAACTTTAGTCCAAGAAACTTACCACTTGGAACTCAAGAAAGGAGGTTTGCTGCCCTCAACTGGCTTTGTGCCTAATCAGGACTAAAACTCATTTCCCAATGTTTAGCCTGAAGCCTTAACAGCCACAGCAACCGGCTTCTATTGCTTTGGAAGGTAGTTGCGTTTTTCCTGCAAGAAGTCAGGCACAATTGCTTTTTTGTTCTTCCTTTGGGTCTCAGCCAACCAGGACCGAAGGAGTGCCTTTACCACTGGTAACAGAAACTGTGGATGTCAGGCGGTTTGACCGGACCCCCAGGATGGATCTGCCCAATCTCATTCAGCGAAAAGCTATTTCAGGTAAACTATTGGCAATGGTGAAAGTCTTCCTTCCCTCACCCAGAGTGCTCCCTGCTGTAGGCTCAGCTTCTTTAACTTTAGAGAAATGGGATCAGGAAAAGCACATTGAAGCACATGGGGCTCTTTTTGAGAAAGTGAAACCACATTGAGCAATGAAGCAGTTTTTGAACTAACAGGATGCTCCTCCCTGCCCCAAATCTTCCCCAATGCCTCAGCCAGTGCACCCTCCCCCACCTTCAGCAGCTTGTTCTAGCATGCCAATTTGGGAAGTGTTGGATGGAACACCTGCATCTGCCTGATGCCCTCCAGGCATGCCAAGGAGGTGGCCAGGAGTTCTAAGAGCTGAAGCGTAATTCATGGAAGAACAGAGAAAATGTGCACCCCAAGGTTACCTTCAGCCCCTTCCCAGTTCTCATTAGGCAAGATTGGTTTTTAAAAAGCCACAGCCTCACCCCCACCCTTGTTCTGGGCCTAGAAGGCATAAGAAGGGTTGTAGCCAGCCACTTTGGTCCTGACCAGCTCCCTGGAACCTCTTTCACAGGATATGCTGGATTTATCCCATGCTTCAGCTGGATTATGGGCGTCAACTACCTGAAGGGAGTGAAAGATGCCATGAATAATTTTGATAGAAACCAGGTAAGACTGGGAGAGGGAGCAGGGCCCTAAAATTCCCTAAAACAGATGAAACAAACTGGTCTCCAGAACTAATTTCCTACCTAGAGAAGACTCCTGGCCAGGGGTCCAGCTTGACAGCCCTTTCTCTCTTGCAAGGCTACATCTGTGCAGCAAAGGGCGGGTGACACATGCTGTAGCATCAAATTTAGCCAATCCCAAAGCTAGCTTTCCTGCCTAACGCTCGATTGCCCTTCCTCAGGAAAGGCTGAGAAACCCCATGTATAGTTTTGGACAGCGCCTGCCCCACACTTACTGGCCCAACACAAAGATCTACAACAGCAGAGGCCTGGTTCCATTCTACACTGGGTTTGTGCCAAGTAAGTGATGGGACCTGTCAAGACAAATTTCTCCCCTCCCCATTAGCTCCTGGGGCAGTTGAGGTGTATTGAATGTAAAGCATTTGTTCCCCTCTGGCTACACAGAACTGAACACCAGAGTTCAGTGAGCAGCTGCAATTTGGCTCAGGCTGACAGTTGCTTAGTCCTAGTTATGAAACATGATGAGCAAGATTACTGGCAACACTTTTTGTCCATCTTCTGGCCAGTAAGATCCTTTGCAATCTTTAAAAAAACACTGTTCTGTGACTGTTTCTGCCAGCTGAAGTTTTACTTGCAGGGAAAGGACAATGAAGTCTTTACACCCGTCCCCTTTTAACATACCACTCAATCCTACTCTGTTGCCACATGTCAGAAAGAACCAGTTGGAGCATGCAGAGCTGCTGACTTGGGGCTTTTCTCTCTCCCCCCCTCCATGCAGCTATCCGTGAACATTATGCCCTAACTTTTGGGAACAGCACTCGGAAAGCTTATTATGATGAAGTACAGCGGAGACAACATACAGGTTGAAAATGCTTTTAATGCCCGTTCAACATCAGACAAGCAACATAAAGAAGACGCAGCACACATAAACAGAGGTCTTGAACAAATAAAGTTTGCAACACCTTTGAACAGAACAAACAGGTGTGACTTTCCTCTCAGTCTCTTAAGCTGCTTCTTCCTCTGCTTCCTCTTCAAACTCACCCTCTTCCTCGGCTGTTGCATCCTGGTACTGCTGGTATTCCGAGACCAGATCGTTCATGTTGCTCTCGGCTTCGGTGAACTCCATCTCATCCATGCCCTCCCCAGTGTACCAATGCAGGAAAGCCTTGCGGCGGAACATAGCTGTGAACTGCTCGGAGATGCGCTTGAAGAGTTCCTGGATGGCAGTGCTGTTGCCAATGAAGGTGGCTGACATCTTAAGGCCACGAGGAGGGATGTCACAGACGGCGGTCTTCACGTTATTGGGAATCCACTCCACAAAGTAGCTGCTATTCTTGTTCTGGACATTCAGCATCTGCTCATCCACCTCTTTCATCGACATTCGCCCACGGAAAACTGCCGCAACCGTGAGGTAGCGCCCATGGCGGGGGTCGCAGGCTGCCATCATGTTCTTGGCATCAAACATCTGCTGGGTGAGCTCAGGCACCGTCAGGGCACGGTACTGCTGGCTCCCACGACTGGTCAGAGGAGCAAAGCCAGGCATAAAAAAATGTAGCCGAGGAAAGGGGACCATGTTGACTGCCAGTTTGCGCAGGTCAGCATTTAGCTGGCCTGGGAACCGCAGACAAGTGGTCACTCCGCTCATTGTGGCAGACACCAGGTGATTGAGGTCGCCATAGGTAGGAGTGGTCAGCTTCAGGGTCCGAAAGCAAATATCATACAGGGCCTCATTATCAATACAATAGGTCTCATCTGTGTTCTCCACCAGCTGGTGGACTGAGAGAGTGGCATTGTAGGGCTCAACCACCGTGTCTGACACTTTGGGGGAGGGGACCACGCTAAAAGTGTTCATAATCCTGTCAGGATATTCTTCCCGGATCTTGCTGATCAGGAGCGTTCCCATGCCAGAGCCAGTGCCACCCCCCAGGGAATGTGTGAGTTGGAAACCCTGGAGACAGTCACAGCTCTCGGCTTCTTTCCTTACAACATCCAGCACAGAGTCAACAAGCTCGGCCCCCTCGGTGTAATGGCCCTTGGCCCAGTTGTTGCCTGCTCCACTCTGACCTGCAAGGGAGGGGGAAGCGAGTAGGAGAATGAAGACCCATTAGAGGAGCCCCTAAGGGGCTTCAGTCAGAATTGTGCACAAACACAATCACTCAGCAGGAGCAGCAAACGGCCCACTTAGATGGCAGCGTTTGGAAGCCCCACCTTTGCCAGTGACATCGCCTCTGCCTAGCGATGCTCTCGTCCTGCTTGAGCAGCTCTTGGCACGTTTAGGGCTGGAAGACCAGCGCGCCTGCCTGGAACACTCCTGAAATGGGGCTCCCTGCAAACCAGCCTCCGTGGGCCCTTCCCCGGCCCTCCCTCCCGAGAAAGGCAGCAAACACCCCCCAAGACCCGCTTAGCTCACCTAAACAAGCGACCCCTGGAGCCCCTAACCTCAAGTCCCCCCATCCCAAGGGGCAAAGGAGGAAATGCGCTGCGCCCTTCACTTGGAGGCCGTGCGGGGCGCCCCACCTGCCCCCCCCAAAAAACCGTCGCCCAGCCGAGCATCGCCTACCGAAGACGAAGTTGTCGGGCCGGAAGATCTGCCCGAAGGGGCCCGAGCGCACCGAGTCCATGGTGCCCGGCTCCAGATCCACCAGCACCGCCCGAGGGACGTACTTGCCGCCTGCGAAGGAAAGGCCAGCTCAGCCGCAACATCCGAAGCCCCCTCGCCCTCTTCCCGTCCCGCTGGGCCCCTCGCGAGCGTCGGCGAGCTCCGAGCCCCTGCGCCGGCAGACTCACCGGTGGCCTCGTTGTAATAGACGTTGATGCGTTCGAGTTGGAGGTCGCTGTCGCCGTGGTACGTGCCGGTGGGGTCGATGCCATGCTCGTCCGAGATCACCTCCCAGAACTAAGGGCGGGAAAGCGGGGAGAGCTATGAGAAGGCGGCGCGGGAAGCATCCCGAGCCCCACCCGGCCTCCTCGTCCTTCTTGGCCGGCTCGGCTCACCTTGGCGCCGATCTGGTTGCCGCACTGGCCTGCTTGCAAATGCACAATCTCCCTCATGGCGTCGGAACCGACGGGCGGGATCGGCCTCTTCTCTCCGGTCCGGGCAACAAGACGAGCAACGCCGACTGCACGACGAATACTAGCTGCGTCAAGGTAACGGACGGCTTTATATACGAGGCGCAAGAAAGGGGGCGGAGCTGCGTAGTCTCCCTCTCATTCCACCTTCCCCGTCATCCGTCTTGCCGATGATGATTGGGCGAAAATGCTCCAGCTGCCCTAGGGATTGGGCGCTCGAGATGCCAGTCTTGATCGAATACCTCCCCGCGCTTGAACGGTTTTTTTTTAGCGCGAGGACGTTCTCCCTCGAATTTTCTATTGGAACGTTACAACGGTCGCCCGAGACTCCGCCTCCTCCTCGCGTTGCTTCTCCGTGCCGCCTACCAACGGGGAAAGAAAAAAAAAACCCGAAGAAGCCTCTTCTATTGGATGATTTGAATGACTGACGGAGACCTCTAATTGGCGGCCGAGAGGCGTCTCCTAGCAAAACGGTCGTAGGGGGAAAAATACCCGCGCGAATGTAGGCGCGAGAACCTGTTCACTACGGCGACTACGTTAAGAGCGCAAGCTCCCCGCGCACTGCGTTGTCGGCGTGACGGTTGCGGTGGACGCCGTAAACAAGCCGCTCCTTAGCAACGGGGCTCCGTTGCCTTAGCAACGCCTCTAGGGCAGCTGACAGCATCCTCCACAATGGAGACCCAGGGCTGTAAACAGGCCTCAGCCGCCTTGAAGCACCCTGATTTTCCTGTCAACTGCTGCCGGTGAAAGCAAGTCCCAGGCCTGCCTGGAGATCCTCCTCTCCAACCATGTCCTCCCCTTCCCGGGTTCCCCAACTGTATTCCCATTGTCCCCTGCCAAGAAAGCGATGAAGATGCCAGCTGGGCAGAGGCCAAAGCCTGGGCCAGGAAGAGCCAGGAGGAGACTGCCAGTGATCAGCACTCCGCTAGTCCTTTCAGGATTATGTACCGTAGCTCAGTTTCCAACTTAATAAAGCTACACTTTTTTCCTTGCAATACAGTATATTTTAGGAACATGTTGCTTTTTAATCCTCACATTAAAATTGCACTAAGGATCAGAATTTTTCTTTGGAGGGAGGCAAAATGCAACGTTTTAGAACACGCCAAGCCAAGCTTCTCACAACAAACGGGTTCTATCTATGGAACACACAGTAAAATCAACCGACGAGGAATTAAAGCACGGTTTAATAGGAAAGGGGGGTCCCTGTGGTTCCTGCCAGAGGAGCCACTTCACAGCCCAAGGACTCCGAGGAAAAGTTCATACGGCGCAAAAGCCCATCTTCGGGATGAGTCTCCTATTCCACTTGTTCGTAAATGTGATTGTCGTGTCTGTTAAACAATGAGATGGAAAAACAAGCCAGTATGATACGTTGCCTGTTTTTTAACACACAACAAGATTGGTGGGTGGACAGAATGATTTTAAGGGAACAGAACAGCATAAAATGCTTTCAGCAAAGATTTATACCAATACAGGGACAGTTCTCCCTTCAGCTCCACTTATAATGGTTCCAAACAAATTTGCATGCTAGATTGACATTTCCTTCAAGCTGTCCATTACACCATCAAGTTCCCTTTCCTGACCAGTTCTGCCCAGTTCAGATCCCATTAATGCTGATGTGAAGCTTAGATGAATGGCTTTTCCCTTCTTTATGGCTTTTAAAGGCACGATTGTACAAGTCTACCCTCCCCAACGTTTTGTCTCCTGAAATCTAAGTTTCCCTCTTACCATTTTGGGTCAAGTAGGAACATATTTGGGGAAACATTTCCACACAAAACAGCTTATCCAGCCTGCCCACCTCCCACAGTCCCAGGAAGCGCTAACTTACCCTGGAGGTGTCGTCCCAATCTCTGGAGAGCCTCCCGTTCTGGGAAGGAAAGAATGGTAAAGAGCATCCTATTAGGGAAGGTGCTAAATAACCAGGACTTCTACTCGAAAGATCTGGGATAGGAAAGCAGAGAGCTTCCTGTCTCCTTCCCTTGGGCAGCAAGGGGGGGCAGCTCAGCAGCTGCAAAGAGGCTGGGAGTGAGCAGGGGACCACCTCTTTCTTCTGATCAGTTACCAAAACTCTAGCTGCTCTTTATTTACTGGCTAAAGGTTCACAGAGATGACATTCAGGCGCAAAGCCCCTTTTCTGCTTGGCCTCAGTTGACATGGCCATGCTACAATTCCCCTGGGCATCTAATTGCTAGTAGTAGTATTTACATAGCCTTGATTGTCATTGTACATCAGGTATACAACGAAATAGTTCCTTTTAGGTCTCTGCAGGAGGAAGAGCTCAAAAAAGGGAACACTCCTTTCATCCCACAAAACTTACACAGGTGTAGGGCCTGGCTCTTCCACGGTCACGTACTTCTTTACCGAGGGAGGGCTGAAATACAGATGGATCCTGCTGGATGAGAGCAGTCAACCAGGCACCCAGGTGTTGGTGGTAGCCAAGGTGCCTTCAAGAAGTCCAGACTACAATTCTCTCACTTCTGTTCCTCCTTCCCAGCCCACCGACAAACCTACTGACAGGCAGCTACCGGACACGGAGGTTCTTGTAGCTTGTATTAGTTGTAGTTAGTATTAGTTGTAGCTAATACTGCCAGTTCCAACTGCAAAGTCCAGATGCAAACAGGCTCCTCAGGAGCAGAACACACAGGAAGTTTACCTAGTAGCATACCTGTGCATGCAGACAAGCTTTTCTTAAGGGGTCAGGCACATAGATAAAAAATGAAACACTGAGCATTTTTTAGTAAAAATTTCCAGTTTCTTCTACACGAGGTCAGCTCATGTGATCCCTTGTTAAAGGAGGTTCTAAATAGGACAGGCATGGCTTTAATTGTCACCTCTTTTATCAAAGAATTTAAAGCTTCATCCTAGATCCCTCACACTCACCTTGAAAAGGGCTGCACCTTGTCGGGAGTCATGTACTCCTTCTCTATGGGGGCCCTGGAAGCAGAAGGAAATGATTGCAGAAGCCAAGGAGAGAGGGGGACGGACCGCAAGGCCTGGGCTACCTAGAGAGCATCCGCCAAAAGGATCCTAAGCCCAGATGAAGAACCTGCCCCTGGCTTTTAAAGAGCAAATACATTCTGCCCAGGGCAAGCCCACCCTCCCTGTTTTCCCAGCCCCACCCTGCCTTCTTCCTACTTACTTGGGTGGCGATGACGCGCTCACATTCTGGTAGTGGAGTTTCTGACGGGTCCTGAAACGAACACAAGGAATGGCCATTTGGCTGGAGCTGGACCTCCACATGACCACTGGTGCTTCTGGCTTAGCAGAGAAGGCACCCTCGTGATCATTGGTTAACTCTAACTTTGACTGCCATTCCTTTAAGCCGAAGTGGAGGAAGCTGAGACTGGAGAGAATGGTTGCCGGGCGAAAAGAGCTTGGCCTGAGAAAGGGGCCCCATCTACTCCTAACCTCCTTTGCTCCTTCAAAAAAGGCTGCAGCGCCTGATTTTTCATGGTGCGAAGAGAAGCCAAGAGGTGCTCTGCTTCTCAGCAGTGGCCCCAGGGCACATTGAGAGTGAGCCTCCTTCGGTTCTGAAAGGGGCTGAAGGCATTTTCCTCACTAGTGCCCCACAAGATCCCCAAATACGGTCAGAGAGCACGACTTTACCTCCAAGCAAGCCCTTTCTCTATATATTTGTCTCCTGTTAAAACAGCATTTCTCGCCTTGAGAAGCCCAAACAAGACATAAAAACAGCCCTGAAGGAGTTGCCAAAAGAGATGCTCTTTTTCCAGGGCATCCTTTCCCTTCCCATCTTCTCTCCATGACCCACCTGGGACCAGGATTCAGCTCACTGACACTCAGGTAGGCATCCTCTGTGGTATTCCTGAGGGGGGACAAGAATGGGCTTCAGTGCTCCAGCAGAGAAAGGGGCCCCATCTCCTCCCACCTCACCCCACCCTTGAATTAAGCACCCAAATCCCACATGGGGGGGGGGGAGCAGTCAAGAGCTCTGGCTGTTTTCTGAATCAGCTAAATACATTTCTCCTGATGTAAAGCCATGTGCCCAAAATTAATTGTGCTAATAGACCCTTTCAAGACCTCCTTGGTTTCTGCAAAATATTCTCCCCGGTAGCTTTAAAGCTGTCCCTTGGAGACTGCCCGGTGGCCAAACTCCACACTGAAATAGTTGCTAATAGTGTCTGGCCTATAAAGGAAGTTCCTCTTAAAACCAGGCTCCTCTGAGGCCAATGCCAGGGCTGTTACTCACGGGGTGGCTGGATGGAGGCGATCCGAGCCCTGGGGCTTCATGGCCATGTACGTACGCTCTGGGCGGGGAGGTCTGCAAGTGGAGGGCAAGAATGTAAGGGGCCTGCGTCCATCTGTGGCACACACTTCCCCTCCCTCCCTCCCTCCCTGAGGCCTGGGGGAGAAAAAAGCATCAGACCAAGCTTTAGGCAAGGACCAGGTGTCTGAGCAGACAAAACCCTCAGCTGGCCAATCCGTTTCCTTCATGTTTAGATGAGACTGCACTTGAAACACCCCACAACTTCAGTTGCTCAACCTTGACTACCCAGATCTCAGCACACACACATTGCACACAAACACACACCCTTGGTCTGATTCACTTACGGGATAGGAGGAAGGGTCCTCCTGGAAGAAGGGTAACCGTTTTTCCCTTCCTTCCCGGTTTTCCTTGAGAGAAGCAGAGAAAAGGCAGAAAATCACTGGGGAGTGAGACGGAGGCACCGAGCAACCCTGGGCTGTGAGATTAATCCTCCGGCCGGCAGGCTTTGCTTCACCCTCTCCACCTGGGAAGCCTTTGGTCCTCCAGCAGAGCCAGGAGGGAGGGCAAAGGGCAGGGCGGTGGAATCCGCTTGCAGTGACTGCAGAGCCCCGGGAAGATCTGGCTGCTTCCGGCCCCTAGGCAGCTCCTACAGCAGGTCGGCAGGGCCAGAAGGATGGAGACCCGACGACCAGAAGAGGCCAGGCCTTCCCTCCGGCCTGCGAGACTCACCTTTGCTTATCCATTATCCGTAAGATGCAGACGGCCACCACCAGGAGGACCGAAGTGGAGAAGAAGCCCAGGAAGGCCAATGCGGCCACAATCACTGCCAGGGTCCCTTTGGCCAGCACTTCAGGACAGCTGCCCTCGGCTTTGTCCGCTGAAGGCACGCGGAGAGAAGCACAATCAGGGGCAGGAGGGACACCCTCTCCCCCCTCCAATTCTTCCGTGGACGGTTGTCCTCTCTGCAGTTGGAGGCAGCAAGAGACAGAAAGTGTCCTCCGAGGCCACTTCCTGCCCTCTCAGTGAGTTCTCTTCTTGGTTCTCAGAGTGGGGGAAAGCCACTCTTATTCCTACTCCTCCAAATGTAGGAGCAAAGCCACATCCAATTCCCCAGGCCACAGGAAGGGGTGCAAAAGTCCTCCCTCCCCAAATCACAGACAGGAGGGAGAAGCCCTTACTGGGGATGGAGATTTGCCGGTGGCTAGCTTCCACGTGCTTTTCCGCGTCTTCGGGATACTGTTGGGATAGCAGAGATTCATACCAGGCCCCCCGCTGAGGCAGGATTTGCATTTTAGGTCCCTTCTTCCAGGTCTCTTCTTCTGTCACCCCCACAGCACAGGGAGGGGGAGGCTGTTACTTGCCCACTTGGGAGCACTGAGATTCAAAGGGTGCAGCCGCCATGGCCCCCCAAATCGGGTTGCCATAGGGGACATTTAACAGCGAGTGCTCCAAGAGGCTGACCTTCCTCACGGCCCTTCGAACAATCTGCTCTCTGAATCCTTTGTCCTCCTCCTCCTCCTCCTCCTCCTCCTTCAAGGCATCTTTCGGAGAGGCAGTTATTTTCTTTTTATGTTTTGGGTGGAAACTGGCTAGATGATCTCTTGAGGCGTCTACCCTGCTCATTCTCACTGCAAATCAACGGAAGAAGAATTCTGAATGCAAAAAATGGATGCAGGAGATTTGGCCTGTGTTCTTCCCATGGTGATCCTTAACACACACACATCTATATTTTGTGTGTTTGTCTCCCCCTCCAGTTGTGGGCTGTTTACAGATATCTCACATTTTGATGCCTACCAGGGTTACAAGCGCACCCAGATTTAAAGCCCAAATACTTTGCAGCATGTCTGTCCCCAGGCTTTCTTCCCAGCCCCAAACCCCCGTTGGATGATCAGCTCCATTACTCACATGAAGCTAAGGAGAGGACGCTTACGACGAACAGGCATGCCGGTTGCATCCTGGAGCTCTGAGCCCAACCTCTCACCATTCCCAGGAGCCCTGAAAACACGCCAGGCCCCCAGCTAGACAGGAAATCCAAGAGTCTCTGTGACCTCACAAGGTCCCAGAACATTGGCCAGCCAATGGGCCTCTCTCCAGCCCAGCTGCAAGCAGTCCCCCTCCTCCTCCTCCCAAGGAAGCCTCAGAAAGCTGCCTCAGTCCCTCACCACAAGTCCTCCAGGGCAGCCGGTTCTCCTTCATCAACTGCCTTCGAGAGCTCTCCATCTCCCCAGCATCCGATTCCTTTCGGCCTTCCTGCCAGGCCAGGCCGGTGCTTCGTGATGGGCATTTGGGGACTTAAAGGCAGCTTTGCTGATAGTCATGTCAACCAAGAGAACCGCTGACGGTTTCCTTTCCTTCCCAGAGCCACCGGCCTCCTAGGGACCACACCCTAGCTCCTGGGATTCCCCAGAGAGGGGGGCAGGAGGGGGAGGCCACGGCCCTTGGCAAAGGGAGCTGCCCAGAGCTTTGTTCCTTTCCCCACCTCTCCCGGTATCGCGTCAGTGAAGAGGCTGTACTCATTGGCAAGAAGGATGTGGTAGGAAACCCACCCCAGGTGGGCAAGGAAGGTAGAGAGACCCCTCCCGCCAACCACCCCAGCCATGGCTCTCCCCAAAAGACTCTGCAGAGGGGCTGAAGGGAAATGTTGGCAAGAAACCGAGTTGCCAGGGGGAGAAAGCCAGCCCGATTCACGGAGAAAAAATACATCACAGTCCCAATGGCTCAGAGAAGCCACTTTATTATGAACCAGGAAATCCACCAAAATAAATGTTTTGCTAGCAGCCCCTTGGGCTGCACAGACACACACAGACACACACACACACACACGCACCATGGCCACATGCACCAAGGCGAAGCAAGGTAGCACCACGGGCCAGAGTCTGAGGGTGGCCCACACCTGTCAAGCCACCCGGAACGGACAGATCAGTTGCAGCTTTTGTGCAAGCGATAGACGCCCCCCGAGAAGCCGAGCTGCTGGTCCTGGACCTTCCTCTGGAGGAAGGCCTGCAGCTCCTGGATGTCGATCTCGGCCACCATGGGGCTCGTCATCACGAAGATCTTCAGCATGCTGTGGATGCGCTCCAGGGGGAGGCTCTCCAGGTTGGTCAGCATGGCCTGGATGTAGGTCCAGAAGAGCTGCGAAGGGGACACGAGGAGACAGAAAGAAGGCCGAGGCAAAGGTTAGAACGCTTGTGGCTGAACAAAGCTGGGCTCTGGCTCAGGTGCTTCTGGGATCCAGCCAGCCCTCAGCGGGAAGGCTACCATTGTGCTGCACAAGGGTGGGTCACTCAACCGAGGGCCAGTGCTCAGAGCCCAGATGCTCTCAGGCTTCCCCTCCTTAGCCAGGACGGTCAGTCCTGGGCCACTCAGGGAGGCCTCCTCCTTCCCCAGATGAGCACCTGCAGCTCCTCCTCCTTCTGGTCCGCCTGGGAGGCCATGGCTGAATCCCCCTCCTCGTCACTATCGATCAGCACCACCTTCTCGCCCTGGTCCTTCAGCTCCTCCTCGATCACTGTGAAGGTCCCTGGGGGCTCCTCCCGCAGCACCCCTTGCTGCAGCCAGAGGGTCATCTTGCGCCGCAGGGAGGCCGCAGGCACCTTCAGAGCCTCACTCAGCTCCTCCAAGGTCCAGGTGCCTGCAAAGGGGGCACCCACCCTGCTTAATGCCCCCATAAGGAAGGCCCCCCAAGGAGGGAGCCAAGGCTTCGGGGCGGAGGCAGCACTTCACGTAGAGAGGCCCAAGGAGGACCTCCTGGTAGGAAACCTCCCCTTCATCCACCTCGACGCTGCCAAATGCGTCCCTCCCCCGGTTGCCACGTATGACCCACGCCTGTGCACGTACGCATACGTATCTGCGGGCCCTTCCACGGAAGACTGGAGGGCAGAAGCCGGAGGCTTTCAGGGAGACCTACTTTTGCCCTGGAAGTGCAGGATGACGGCTGCGTGCACCGGCGACACAGACAGGGAGAGCGTGCGGTCTGCCAACTCCACCTCCAGGTTCACCAAGCCCAGGTGATGCTTCCAGTTCAAGGTCCTCATGGCCTGCGAAGGAGCCACCGGAGAGAATTACGGTTACTCAGCTGAAGAACCAGGAGCTCCTGGCCACATGTCTTGTTCCGCATGGGAGAACATGGCAGGGTGTCCTGGGCGAAGGGAGAGGGAGATGGCAAGGAAGGAAGAGCCGAATCCTAGAAGGGAGCTAGGCTGTACCCGGAGGAGAAACAGGCGGCCTCCTCCGTGGCCAGCTGCAGAAGAGGCCCATGGCTGCGCTTCCTGCAGACGGAGGACTCGCCTACCTTCAGCTTCTCGTACTTCTTAGCGTAGGCCTCCATGGCCTCCTTGATCTGCCCTGGGAGCTCCAGCTTCTCCTCCTTCAACGCGGGCCAGAACTCACTGGAGAGGATGATGGCCACGAGGCTGAAGGGGGGCCTTTCCTGCTCAGGCAGCTTCTGCTCCTCGTCACGAATGTTGGCATTGATGCGCCTGGAGTCCCCCATGTCCTGCGTGGGAGGGACGGAAGGAATGGGGGGCAGCCGAGCTCAGCTGGACAGGCCGCAACGGGGCCTTTCTGTGAGCCGAGTTAAACCAGCCTTCGGAGGGACCCGGGTGGTCTGGCAACGTCTCTATGGGGAGCACCTACTTTTAGCATGACCTCGCAGTAGTGCATGTGGGCCTCTCCAAAGCGCAGCTTCAGTAGTTCCACATTTCGGATCTCCCTGAAGCGAGAAGGAGGAGGAGGAAGGGCTGTTGCCAAGGCCTCTGCTGCTCCCATTCTGCAGAGGAGACTCTCTGCTGGGAACGGCAGAGAGGCTCCACCTGCCCCACAATCCCCAACCGGCTGCAGCAGAGCAAAGGGAGGCCTCGGCCGGCTCTGCCTCAGTGGCGGGACCTCCTGGGCCTCACCTCTCGGCACTGTAGTTGAACTGATGCAGCAAGCGTTCAGCCAGCAGAGTGCGGTACTCATTGATGAAGATCTCCTTGCTGCCGTAGATGCTCACCAGCAGGCTGATGATGTCCGAGGAGCGGCGCTTGGAACTGGACTTCCCTGGTAGGAGGGTGGGGGGGGGGGCGTGTGGGCAGAGACCAGAAGCATCACAGACCCGGTCCCCATCTCCCACCGGTGTCTTCCAACCGCAGCCTCAACTCACCTGGATCGGCATCGACCGGATCGGGCACCCAGTCCTCGGGTTCGGACCCCTCGTCCTCACTCTCTTGGCCATTCTCCAGCGTCACCGGGTCAGCTTTGGAGAGCTCATTGGCCAGGTCAGCCGATCCTTCAGCATCCCCCGTCAGGCCTGCCACAATCTGCCGCACAGTATCCTCCCTGGTCCTGCGGGGGAGCGGCCGATGGTGAACCACCCAAACTAGAGCCAGCCACCCCGACGTCACATCAGGGAAGGCCCACCAGCCCCTCTTCCTCACCTCAGGTATTTCCGGATGGGCTCACAGGCCACTTCCAGGATGACCATGGAGGAGTCCAGCTCCCGCAGGGCTTTGATGGCTGAGATGTAGAGGGTGATGATGTCCGAAGTGTTCACCCCTGAAACAGAGGAGGAGGAGGAAGGGGGGACTAGATGCCAGACTCCCTCAGGGAGGAAACGCTGGGCAGAAGGAAGCGCCTTGCCGTCACCCACCGGGATGGAGGAGCCGTAGTTCCAAGGCGCTTTTCAGGGAGGTCAGGAGCTGCTGCCGCTGATTGGTCCTTTCCAGGCAATACTTCAGGTCTTCCACTGCAGGCTTCGACTCCGGGAAATCTGTAGCAGAAACCCGGGAGGAGGGAGGCTGAGGAAGGGCACCCAGCACTGGGCGTTTTGGAGGGGAGGGGGTTACCCTGTTCCGCTCAGCGGCTCCCACCGGGGCTCACCGCGGATGATGCTGAAGAGCTCCTCGATGCGCAAGCTGGCATACAGGCGGTAGAAGAACCTCTGGACGTGGCACCGCCAGCGCTTCAGGGGGCTGCTGGGCAGGGATGCCCCGGTGCTGTCTTGCAGGAAGACCCTGCGGACCCAGCCGATGACCTTCTCGATCCACTGGGGAGGGCACGGAAGGCGCCGGCCTTTAGCCAGGAGGGTCGGCGGGGCCGGGAGACCCCTCGCCCCTCTCCCCGCGGCGCCCCTCGCCCGCCCACCTCTTGGAACTCGCCGAGGAAGGAGCGCTCGTACTCGCCCCGGCAGCGCCACTCCACGCGCTCCTCGATCATCCCGTGCAGCACGTGGGTCACGGCGTCGGCGCTCACCCGCTCCAGCAGGTTCAGCTCGTGGCTGCGGGGAGAAAGGCCCCGCTCAGCGGCCCCGCCGGCCCCGCTCCCGACCCCCGCCCGCCGCTACTTACAGGATGGCGTTGAGCTGCTGGAACTGCTCCATGGCCAGCGGGCACCAGCAGCGCTCCTCCCCGCAGCCGCAGCCCCCGCCGCCCGCCTCCTCCTCGGCCCCGCCGCCGCCGCCGCCGCGCTGCCGCATGTAGATGCGGAAGCTGCGGCCGTAGAAGCGGCGGACGGCCTCGCGGAAGTCTGCGGGGGGCGCGAAGAAGAGGACGGCGCGCAGCAGGGCTCCGGCTCTCTCGCGCGGGCCGCCCGGGCAGCAGCGCCCCGCCGGCCGCGCCCACTCCTCCAGCAAGCCCAGGCCGCGCAGGTAGGGCTCCAGGCGGCGGCGCAGCAGCCCGAAAGCCTCCAGCAGTCGCCGCGAGCACGGGGGCTCCCCGCCGGCCCGGCCCCAGAACTCGG